GTCATATTTTAATCTTTCATCATATTCCAGAGAATGGCGTGATTTTAATATTTTTGTCTCACTTTTCTGTACTCTATTTTTTTTGCTAGACCCAATCTGTATGGATACCAAACTTGGACACTAAACTCCAACTGTGAGCGTACCAGAGATTTATAAAGGCAGAGGAAAGCACTATCTGATGAGTTCTTAAAATTTTTGGCTATTATCCCAAGCATAGAATTAGCGTTTTTTTACTCTATTCAGTATATGAGTTTTGAACTGGAGTTTGGAATCAACAATAACACCCAAGTGAGACACCGTCTCCTCACCGGAAATCATGTGAACCTCACCTAGAGAATCAGATAACAAATAATTCGCCCCAACAGCTTGCCTGCCCACAGACAATAGATGACATTTATCAATATTAACTTTCAATTTCCATTTTTCGAACCAACTAAAAGCATCATTGAGGCTGTGCTGTAAATTATCTCTGTCTTGATTATTATATATAACTTTATAGATCTTGGCATCGTCTGCGAATAGAAATATACTGTCTTTGACTATTGCGACATCGTTCATTTATAATATAAACAAGAGAGGACTAAGTTCCCCACCGAGGTAGACCACTAACAACCGGCAAAGGATTCAAGCATTGGCCGTTCAGTTTTACCTGAAAAGTACGAATGTCTAAGTAGTTTTTTGTCCATAATATTAATTTCTCATGAACTTTATATTTGTGTAATTTAAATAGTAATCTACTGTGGGAGATTTTGTCAAACGCCTTCTCGAGATCAGTGTAGACAACGTCTACAGTATCTCCCTTTTCAACCGCCTGAGTCATCACATCTAACGCGATGGGAGAAAACCATACTGCCTGTGAGTAAACAATTTATTCCTCGAGAAGTAATTCTTTATCTGTTCTGCCACAATGGACTCCAAGATCTTGAAACATGTTGAAGTCAAGGCCACTGGTCGATAATTAGCAACATAACTTCTATTACCTTTCTTGTATATAGGAACTATCATGCTGGTTTTCCAGTCATTGGGAACCACTCCTGTGTCCAGCGATAGTTGAAAAATCTGACAGATATACTTATTCAGCAAATGTCTGACCTCCCAGAGAACGCTTGGATGAATACCATCATGGCCTGGTGACTTGTTAAGGTTAAGACCATTGAGCTTTTTAAGGACCATGTTTTCATAAATTCTTATCTCGCCCACCCTCTGGTATCACCGGATTGATAAAAGATCCATCATCTTCAAAGTTTGTGTCTTCTTCAAAAACCGATGCAAAGTAATTAGCTAAAAGAAGTGCTTTCTCTCTATCATTTGCAACTTCAATGAACTAACTTTATCTCTGGAATGAGTAACGTTGTTCACGTATTTCCAAAACACCTTAGGATTTAATTTGTAATTTTTTGCTATTTCATTCTGTTTTTCTCTCGACAATGATCTGGTCAGTTTTCTCACTTCCTCTCTTGACTGGCGAAAATTCGTTAATTCGTTTTTTCCAAACATGTATGTCCTCAAATAATAATGCTCTAGCTTGATGAGCTCTCGCAACTCAGGAGTCATTTTGAATGTACTAAACCTACCTGAATTTCGAAACGGAACAAATTTTTTAGTTAGACCGCAGATTATTTCACGAAAAAATTCCAACTGTCTTCAACTGATGAGTTTTGATTCATAGCTAAAAATTCTGGCAACATCGTGGAAAATATTTTTTTAAAATTAATGTAATCACCTGCATTAAAACAATGTTTCATACTGACCGGGGTTTGTCGCAAACCAAAATCACAAAACTCTGCAACAATGACTGAGTGGTCACTTTTTCCCAATGGGGCAAAGTATTTAATATTTTTTACAAAATTGTAGTCGGTAATCAATAAGTCCAGGATGTGTGGCCGCTGCATACCTCTTGTTCTGGTTGCTTCAGTGATGAACTGTAGCAGGAATCTATCATTGAGGACCTTTAGAAATCTATTCTGAATTTTTACTGGTAAACCACCGAAACTATTTGTGATCCAATCAATCTTAGGGAAGTTAAAATCACCAACCAACACATGACGACCACGCGTGTCCAAAAATTCATGAATCATCAGCAACAACATATCATCATTTTCATTTGGACTTCTGTATATTGCCAGAAGATTCAGTGTTTTTGAAGGCAAAATTATTTTTGTATATATCCTTTCGTAGAATGTAGAAACCATGGTCATTTCAGAGACCTGTAACTGCTCTTTGAAATAGATTATTATTCCTCTGCAGCCCTGCGTTACAAAACCTTGACTGATCATCTGATATCCATCAAGTTACCATTCTGACAGACTATTTATAGCCTTATAGTTTTTAGGGTTTATTTCATTGAGTACTATCAAATTGGGAGAGCAAGCAAATGTATTCACAAGATCTCTTAATTAACTGAATTTATTTTGGAGAGTATCAACATTTGAGTATATTAACATCTTAACTTCTCTGGGTACTTGACTCGATTTTCTTCATAAATTTTGTCTCCTGTAGGTTACCACATGAAAGTTGCCAGGATCTCCTTTAAGAACAAAAACCCAATTCTTGATGTCATTTTTTGCAGCAATGACTTTCTTTTTTTCTAGCATGAGGTTTTTGCACTCTTCTCTGTCCTGCTTTATTAAGTCTTGAATTTCTCGTTACCTTTTAGCTTATAACAGTTTCCAAAAATTAAACTGATGATGCTAGATCATTAAACTTGACTAAGGTGGGTCTGTGCTTTTGCAACTGTTCAGGTCTCCTCCCCAATCTGAAAACATCAGCTATATCCCTGGATACATCAAGATCTGGCAATATTGTTTTCAACAACTCAATTATTGCCTTCTTATCCCTTGACTTTGCGTTGCTTTCATCAAGGTTAAAAACAACTAAATTGTTTTTCCTTGAGTTCCGTTCATTTTGAATAATGATATTGACATCAGTTTTTGTAACTGAGGTCTGAATGGACTTCATTTTGGAGTCCAAGCCTTTTACTTTGTCTTTGAATAGGTCTGAGAATTATTTAGTTTTTTCAAAACTGACCAGATTACTTTCAAGATTTTTGTTTAAGGCCTTGCTTATTTCATCAATCTTGCTGTTTAATTTATTCAGCTCTGTCAGTTGTTTATCTACTAATTTATTTTTTTGTGACAGTTAAAAAATTGATGTAAGTTATATATATATATATTGATATATATATATCTACATCTATCTACTAATATTTTCAATTTATTTTTATATTAAAAATAATTAACTTAAAAACATTTAGTGTTTATTTTGCAAACAGCATTTGGCGCCCACAGTTACCCGGCGCCAACCCTTACGCCCCTTATGACTGGCGCTGCTGTCCTTTTTTTATTTTCCAGTTCGTCAATTTTTGACTCCGGCTGTATAATTCTTTTTTTTCGCATGTTATAAACGATGATTTGGATTCCAGATCGTCAGTTTTCGATTCTGATTAAATATTTTTTTTTCAGATTTGAAATCTCGTTTTCCGAGTCTTCAACTCTCTTCACCAGTGTTTCGAAAAAATTTTTTCCACCCCGAAAAATCGCTTTTCGGCGACATTTTAATATTTAACAGCAGAAATTTAATCTTTAAAAATCAGGTAAAGAGGAAGTTTACGGTGTTAATGCACTAGTTGTTGTGAATAAAGATAAAGAAAAAAGCGAGAGAAGCGTTGTAATTTTTGGAATACATCTTTCAAAAGAGAGTAACATCGAAAACAGAAAGTTGTCAGACAAGGCAGTTGTAGATGTCTGTAGTGAGTTAAATGTTGACAAAAATAACATTGAGTATTGTTAGGTGGAAAAGTTACTTAACGACCGTCTGTGGCGGTGTCGATTTAAATTGTTTGTAAAATTTTGTAATTTAGACAATTCTGGAGAAGTTTATTTCCTATAAATTAACTTTTTTCAATTTAAATTAATTTCTCACAATTTTATCAATAAATATTCGTATATTTATTTATATTTCTTTATAATTTATGTAGTGTAATGTACCGAAATATATTGTACTAAGCTAAATCCATTTGGTTTTTAACGTGTAACCTTAAAACGGTTTTTATTTAAAAAAATATTCGTATTTAATTTGTTTGTTTAACGTTCTTTTCATATTGACTTATTTAAAAAAATATTCGTATTTGTCTGTTTAACGTTCTTTTCATATAAACTTATTTAAAAAAATATTCGTATATAATTTGTTTGTTTAACGTTCTTTTCGTATTGACTTATTTATTACAATTTGTTTATTTTATCTTATCTTATTCTGCTTAATATTAGAATCTTCATTCTTAAATGTTAGATATTACAAAGTTATTAAAAAAACGTTATCATTATTTTATGTCTATCCATCTTCATATTTTAAATTGTATTGAATTAAATTAGTTTTTAATTATTTATTTATTAATCTTTTATTATCATTATTTAACATAAAATTGCTGTAAATTACGTAAAAAACGCTCAACGCATTTCAACCACCATATCTTCACAAACTCATTCGCCTTCGCTCATCCGTTAATCATCACCTTCGTCTGCCGTCATCATTGCAACTGCATCGACCGGTCAATAAATCAGCTCTCACCAATAAAGGCCTTTCATATTGCTAACCATCAATATGCAACAGTTTGCCACTTGAAAGCAATTGACACCTCGACAATCATCAATAGAATTTAAGAAGCGATTGAAACAGCATCTGTTCGAACAGCCTTTTGCTGGCCGTGATGACATTTGTTTATCCGGGCGCCTCTGATGCTATGAATAGGGCGCTGCACAAATGACATTATTATTATAATTATTATAGGATAAAAAAGAGAATATAAAATTAAGTGAAACAGAACTTGAAAAAGACTTATATATGTAATGAATGATCTAAAATGGAAGAAACATGTCTATTATGCAGTTGGGAAAGCGAACAGAAAACTAAGCATGATTAGAAGAAATTCTTCTCATATTTTACATAAAAAATCACTAAATTTGAGACGGCACATAAAGTATGCAGCTACAGTCAGGGGCGTCATTTCAGATTTTGGTTGTGGGGGAGCGAACTTATGTGGTCTATGACTAAGCATGTAACATTTATATATATATATATATATATATGTATATATATATATATATATATATATTATTAATAAAGATCACGGCATACTCAATACTCAATCAGTACTCAATCTATATGATAGTTTCTCGATTCTTCGAATAATTCTCCAATCTACCAAGCTTAACTTGTTAATGCTATTAACAAAATTCCTATTTACAGAAGATGTCATTATCTACATGTATGCATATAGTACTATTTCGACTACCTAGTCTCGTCAGTGCAACATTATAATAAATTTTACATTTTTAAAGTTCTTAAAATTTCAAAATTTTTAAAGTTTTAAAATTACTAAATTATATATCCTATATATATATCCTTTTTACAAAGAATTTAAAATTAACACTTTTATAATTTATAATGAATACTCATACCTCCCGTGATTTCATGGTGCCTATTGCAACTTCTGTTTGTTCAGCTACCTCTACCAACATCACTTCTGACTGTGAGCTGTCTAACAATCTAAAAATATCAAAACTATTTATAATAACTTTCTACAAAATAATGTACAATTGTTAATTAAATTTAAATACCGTCTGTGGTGTTTTTTGAATTTGATGTGGTTGCCTCAGTCAAGACAAAGAAATCCATCCTTGCCTGTTTAATTTTTTTCTTTGGTAATTCATTTCCAGCTGACATCTTTCTACAATATAATCTAAACTTTTTATAAAATTTATTACAATATCCAGAAAAAATAGTTATTGTTATTTGACTTACCAACTTGATGATTTAAAATATTTTTTATATCATTGATTATTAATTTAATTTAATCATTTATTATTGATTAGTAGTTTGATCAAATTTATTAACGAAACTGAAACAATTTGTATTCAAACTCACCTTCACTCTTTATCTTAAAAAATGATATAAATTGACTTCCAGCTAAATCAAAATAACATTAATAACAGCGAACGGGTCAGTTAATATGGCGACAACACAACGGTTTTTTCAAACAGAACATGAAATATTGTAGGAACAAATGAAATAAATTGTATAGCGCTTGACATTTAAAAATTCAAAAAGCACAATATTTTGTATATATAATTATAATAAATTATATAATTTTATATAATTATTTTATAGTGTTTGCAATTTTGTCATAATAATTTCGTACAGCAAAAATTTAGAATTTTAATTTCTTGGGAGGAGGGGCAATTGCCCCCCCTGCCTCCCCCCAAATGACGCCCCTGAGTACGGGTGGTAGTTGTAGTCGTAGTGGTAGAAGTAACGTGGAAGTAGTGGTTTTGTTACGAGTTGTGCAGTAGTAGTGTAGTGTTGGTAATAGTGACAGTAAGGTAATAATATTATTAGTAGTAGCAATGGCAGTGGTAAAAGTATAGTGGTAGCAGTGATAATGACGTGTTTGTTGTTGATTTCAAACATGATTTGTCTTGCATTGATAATGTTTAATGATTAATGTTTAATGGTTATTAGTTCAGGGTGCTAACTAACACACAACCCAAACAATTTTTGCATATGAGTGTGTATTTGATTTTTCCTAAGTAGTAGTAGTAATAATAGTAGTTTTAGTAATAATAGCAGCTGTTGTAGTACCCAAGTAGTTCTAGTATGATTTACTGTAAATTGACATAATTTGAAATAAACTGAAACGAATAACAAAACTATCTGGCATTAAATGTGATCACAGATCATTTGAAATTTTCATGTAAACATGAACATTTCTGTTTGAACTCAAAATATTCCATGTTTTGTGTTATACAAATATACAATTATAATAAAAATTATAATTTGAAATAAACTGAAACGAATAACAAAACTATCTGGCATTTTAAATGTGGTCACAAATCAATAAATCACTTAAAATTTTCATGTAAACATAAATATTTTTGTTTAAATTCATAATATTCCATGTTATATGTTATACAAATATACAATTATAATAAAAATTAATTTTTTAGTCATAGCTTTCTTTCGATCGAATTATTGATTTACTGAATCAGTTATTTACCTACCATTCAAGTTACGGTTAAGGTTAAAGTTATATATTTTAGACCACTTACAGTTAAAGTTACAGTTAACTTAAAAATTTATGTTAAAGTTACAGTTGGAAATAATTAAAAGAACACTGCTTATAAGACGTTTGAAGTGGCGAGAGATGTATATGTTAGTATGCAGTCAAACAACACTTGCAACTGCAATTCACTGCACCGTCGGTTAACACTTAATTAAACGTATCGAAATTCAGTCAGAAAATCAATAAACTCATACTATTTTATAATTTCAAATTAAACATTTTTTCAAAATAATAACTTTTAAAAAATAACTATCGTTGATAATTTCCACCATATCCACTAACAAAACCACACGGACACAATGTTTTCATCAAAAATCGAATTAGAAGGTACAAAATCGCTTTTTTAATTTTCTCCTTGTCATTCACATTTCAATAATGATATTTTACACGCAATGGCAATTTAAAATTCCTTGACCCTTAATTTAGCAAAATTTAAAGAATATGGAGCATTATTACTATTGGTTTGTTTTGAACAGCTGATTGATGGTAGTAAAATTGCAGAAACGCATGATAAAAAATTAAACTAAATACATACCATAAGTTATGTAAAAATTGTTTTAATACTCAAAAAGCAAGTCGGTTGTTGTTATCTTCGAAAAATAAATTAAACAAAAAGGATCTAATACAATTCTTCAAATAAAGTTTAAATACGCGGTCTTTTTCGGCTCATAAGAACATCTGAGGCAATTGCAATTGGATCCAAAATCTATGATCAAGCTGCCAAAATGTTAAACACCAAAAAATAAAGTATCTTCAATTATTGAGCTATAGACTGATTTTGGAACGGCCAAAAACTGAAAAAATAATTTCAGCGCATGAAATAGTTGAAAACATTCGATAATGCATTGCTCAAAATTTACCATCTTTCCACGCGTACACTGAATGTAACAGTTTCTATGTTTTATGGCACCGGAAAACAATTGGCATGGAAAACATAGATCATCTTTTGACAAGTGGACACTGCATTTACAATTTTTTAACAAATTCAGGTCAATCAGAAATGCCCATAAAGAGCATTAAACTTATGTATGACCGAACTTCAACATATCATGAAGTTAATGAATGCCGACGTTTATCATACACTTAGAAGAACAGGGCCATTGAAAACATTTCTCCAACTGCTAACGCTCTCTAAATGAGCGAACTCAGCCCACCAAACGAGCCACACTCTAAGCTCAGGTATGGAAAAACTGCTTGTTAGCATTAGCACCTGTGTGTGATGTGTTATCCAGAAAAATGAGGCTGGAAGCTTTTGAATGATGGAGATTATGCATCGTTGTGCTCAACACTTTCTGATGTATCTTCACATTGTTACGAGCTTGTAAGATTTTCACGCGAACAAGTTTGCCAAAATTGTAAGTGTAGAAACAACGAGTTACGGTGTACTAAACTTCGCGCATGTAGTGGAAATTGTCAGTCAATCAAAAATTTAAATTTTATAACAAAAAAGAAAATCATTTCTTTTACCTAAGTACACCCACACACGTTTATCAGCATTCAACTACATCATTCTCCCAACACCAACTAACCAACTTGTCCAAAACCAATTGCATTCTCTGTCAACTTGAACGTCCACGCCCAATTATCTCCGTTTTTTTTTAATTTTAACAGTAAATTCTTCAATGTACTTCATCGACAAAATAATTTTTTTATACTAAAATTTTAATTATTTTTCAAGATATGAAGATTTTTGGGACGGCACTTTCAAATTTTTGAGCAATTTTTAAAAAAATTGTGCCAATATAGGACGTTATATCTCTTGAACTAGCCAACACATCTTGATGAAAGTTTTTATGCATATCAATGAAACATTATCATAATAAAGCAAATAAAAATTATTGTTTCAAAAAAAAGATATTTTGTAAAAAAATCTTGAAAAAGTTAAATTTTTTGAAAATTTCACCTTTTTCAAAGCTGTGTAGCTAAAAATCTACAGCATAATGAATAAATGTTTTTTTGTTATTTTAAAAGTATATTATAGTCCTTATAGTCCTAATAAATCACAAAACTTTGTTGTAATTCTTTATTAACTTTTTCGAGTTAACGGCAATCAAAATGTCAAAAAAATAAAAAACTTCTTTCGTTTGGCGCCATTTTTAACCACAAAGAACCAAACTTTTTTTTAATTGTTTTATATAGTATTTTCATATTTAAAAACATATTAGAAAACAAAAACGGCTATTTTTTCATCAAAAAAGAAAACTACTTCAAAAACAGGCGAAGTATTAATTTTTTCAATTTTTTTTCAATTTCAATTTATTATATAACGTTTTAATGCGTTTAAAAACCATTTCAATAAAAGTTATTTTGTTTTTTTAACATCAGGTATAACAATCAAAATATATTTAAATGGTACATAGCAAGTAATTACAATTTTAGGCCAATAAAGAAATATCTTTAAGTTTTTTCAGACATCTCACATTTAAATCACCATTTTTATCATCTCTTTCTACAATGTTTCCTAAATACTATTTCCCATCATCGACCAAAGCCACAAATCGACCTGGTTCGCTATCGTCATTGTTGTCTTCATTTTCATTTTTATCGAAATTTTATCCGAATGAATCTGAAGACAAACGTTTTATTAAAAGTTGCTTATGCTTTTGTCTGGAATAAATGAGTGATGACTATGACAACCTTTTACTTTTTCTTCTGACCTAAATCTTTTTCCAAGCACCCATACTAGTTTTTTAATTGCTATTTTGTCTACCCAAAAAAATTCAATACCATTTATTTTCGCATCAGCGTACATGTAAAAATTTCTGGCGTTCAATATCTGATCTTCTATTAATACCTGAAAATTAGCTCTTGCAACCAATCTTTTTGTTGTCCCTCCAATTCCGTCATAAGGACTTTTTCCATGAGAAGTTGCAAGAAAGTGCCATTCTATTTCTAATAAAAAAAATCCTCACTGTGATTAATTCAATTAGAAAAATTTTTGTGTTGACTTATCGCACCATCAGAAAAATATTTAATCAAAGTAACGTTTTTCAGATTTTGTTTTATATTATTAATTAAATGTTTTTAAAATACATAAACTGCGGAAACATTGTGATCAAGACAGTCGCTAATCATCCAAACGCTTTTGACAGACAAGTTTTCATCGTCGCTTTAATAAAGATCGATTGAGTGAAGCGTAACTTGCGTGTTGCTTTAATGTTGACTCTGGATTGCATACTATAAGATACCTTTAAAATATCAAAAAACATTTATTTATTTTGCCATAGATTTTGAGCTACACTGCTTTGAAATCGATGAAATTTCCAAAAAATTCAACTTTTTCAAGATTTTTTTTTACAAAATATTTTTTGATTTGAGACAATAATTTTTATTTGATTTATTATAATATAGACAAAAAATTTCATCAACAAATATTAGATAGTTCAAGAGATATAGCGTTCTAAGTTGGCACAAATTTAAAAAAAAATTGCTAAAAAATTTGAGGGTGCTACCACAAAACTTTTTTATATCTTGAAAAATTATTAATTTTTTTTTATAAAAAATTATAGTGTCAATGAGGTACTTACTGTTAAAATTAAAAAAAATCGGAGATGGTCGGGCGTGAACTTTTTTTTAAATCGTTCAAGTTGAGAGAGAATGAATATTTAGCGGTGTAAAATAATATTTTCTTTTCTATCAACCTCTGATTTTACACCACTAAATATTTGTGCATCATCTGCTAATAGAAATAATTTAACACTATTTGTCTAATTAAATATCTTAAATAAATCATTTATATATATAACATATAACACCAGTCATAGCACACTTCCTTGCGAAACACCACCCGTCACATTCATTCAATCAGAACACTTCCCATTTACACTAACACAATATTTCCAATTTTTCCGATAACGATTATTCATAACATCCTTACAAAATATAACCTCAACCTTTTAATTAGTTTATTAATCCACATTATTACCACCATCTAATGTTTTAATCAAAATGTCCATTATTTTTAATAACTAAAGTTAATTAGACCTTCTTTATATGAAACCATATTGAAGTAGATTTAAGAAGTTTTTAACACTGAAATTATTCAACAGAGCATTTTTTAAAAACTTTCTAAGGAAATAGGTCTGTAATTGTGAACATCTACACATGCCTTTTTTATGACCATTTTTATTAAATTAAATTTTTATAAAATTAAATTATAAACTTTTAACTTTGTTCTATGTATATTGAAGTATTTGATCTTTAGTTATGATATGAAATTAATTTATAAATTAATTTATACATAAGAGCTTTCGAAATAAATGCCATAAATATTTTATAGATATCCAAAATTTCCTAAAATTTCAACAGTCGCAAACATACATACATAAAAATGTTCATTTGAATATATGCATATATACAGGTGGAAAACTTTAAATGCACAATCATCATCATATACATATATTGGTCCTGGGCATGACATAAAACTGCATCCACGCTGCCTTGCGTGCTTTTGAGCAAAAGGCTAGGCCCACCGCTTATAACTGGTGGTTGTCGTCAGGATGGGTGTCCGGATGTAAAAACTTTTCCACAAATTACTCTCATACCATCACAAAGAAAAACAACGGCCCCAAGTCCCCAGCAGGCCTTTAGTGGTCAAGGGGTGCCAAGAATCCCTGGGAAGTATGCAATAGCGGATGAATGTTGCAAAAAAATTCAGAATGGCCCCTCTATGGTACTTAGACTTGGAACGCTCAATGTTGGATCACTGACTGGCCGCAGCATAGAAATTGCAAAAATGCTCGAGCGTAGAAGGATTGACATCTGCAGCCTTCAGGAGACCCGAAGGAAATCGAATGGCGTTTATCATGTCAACTCGGACAAAGCAAAATATAAACTATTCCGGAATGGTCAAAAGATGGCCAAAAATGGTGTTGAAATTTTTGTCAGAGAACCGCTAGCCGAAAAAGTACTGGATATTAAAAGAATTAATTCACGTCTCATGTGGATCAAGCTTCGCCGAGAAAAGCAAATAATGATTATTTTTTCTGCATATGCACCACAGACAGGCGAATCAGAAGAGATGAAAAATGACTTCTGGGCTGCTTTATCTGACACCATCTCAACAATACCAAAATCTGAAACAATCTTGATTGGAGGCGATCTCAATGGCCACGTTGGAAAGAAAACAAATGGTTTAGACAACGTACATGGCGGTTTTGGCTATGGAGAACGGAATGAAGATGGCAACCGCATCCTTGAGTTTGCTGAAAGTCACGGGTTTTGTTTACTGAACACATATTTTAGAAAAAGGTTGGAACATCTCATAACATACAAAAGTGGACCATCAGCCACGCAAATTGATTTCTTCGCTGTCAAGCAACAACACCGAAGGCTATTCAAAAATGTCAAAGTTACACATGGCAAATCGTGTGTCGCCCAACATAGACTTCTTGTGGCAGACCTGGTTGTCGAACTGTCAAAACATAAGTCTAAACAAATGCCTGGAAAAATCAAAACGTGGAAGCTGAAAAGCAATATTCATCGAAAATAATTTCAACAGATTGTCGCCACACAGTTAGACCACCAATCGCAAGCCAGTACAAATTGGAGTACATACAAAACCGTTTTGATAAACGCTGCAACTACAGTTTGTGGGAAAACTGGTACAAAACGTCAGTAGGAACGGGACACTTGGTGGCGGAATGACAGTGTACAAGATGCAATAGCAGAAAAGAAAGCTGCATACAAGCAATGGCAAAAATCAAAGTCTGTTGATGACCATAAAATTTTCCGTGAGAAGAACAACTATGCAAGACGTCAAGTTGCAACGGCTCGGACAGATCAGTGCAGAGAGTGGCTCACTAAAAGGAAAGGTGAACAAATGAAATCTCTGTATCGTATAGCAAAACAAACAAAGCGTAAGAAAAAAGACATAGTTGGTGCCTCATGGGTCAAAAATGAGATGGTTCTTGAACAAGATGAGATCAAGCTACAGTGGAGAGAATACTTCAACCGTCTGTCAAATGAAACAAATATCATCAATGTCAACTTTGACGCTTCACCCATCGAAGTTCCGATTCCAGATATCACTGTAGAAGAGCGTACAGAAGCTCTGAAAGCTGTGAAGGATGGAAAGGCAGCAGAACCCTCTGGACTCACAAATGACATTATCAAAGCATCTTGTACTGCAGGTATTCAAACGTTACTACAACTTTGCCGTGAAGTGTGGAAAAATTGCTCAATGCCGACTGAATGGAACTATAGCATGACAGTTCCGCTATACAAAAGCAAAGGTGAACCATTGAGAGAAGATTAACGTCGTGCATCACAATCAGAAATTATCAATTTGGTTTCCTAGCGAAGAAATCAACAATTGATGCAATTCACATCCTTCGGCAACTGCAAGAGAAGTACCTCGCAAAGCATCAACAACTATCACACATTTTTGTAGACCTTGAAAAAGCATTTGATCGAGTTCCTCGTGAAGCAATCAGGTGGAGTCTACGTCGACAACTCATTCCAGAATATCTTGTTCGACTTGTGATGGAAATGTATAGGAATACTAAGACTCTCGTCAGCACAACGGTTGGAAACACAGATGAATTTGACATCGGCGTTGGAGTTCACCAAAGCTAGATTTTCAGTCCACTGTTATTTATAACTGTGATGAAAGAAATCACAAAACCGATACGCACTGGTGACATTTGGAATCTAATATATGCTGATGATATCGTTTTAACAGCCACGTCTGAGCAGAATGCAGCACAGATGTTTGAAGATTTGAACACCAGACTCGCCGATCATGGATTCAAAGTCAACATCATCAAAACCAAAGCAATGAACACTGATGAACCCATCCAATCCACAGCTACTGGACGATGGCCTTGTAAAGCTGGTGTAGGTAACAGTTCAATCAAGTGTCCGCAGTGTAACCAGTGGTGTCACAAGCGTTTTTCTAAAATAATTGGTACTTTATCTAAAGTGTCCAATTTTGTTTGTCCTGCTTGCATCAATCCACAACAACAAATTCGAAATAGCAATGTTTTTGAAGCCATTAAGGTAAAGAAAGTCACATCGTTTCAATATCTAGGAGATGTTCTGGATTGTACTGGAACAGCTGAAGCTGCCGTTCGAGCACGCATCCCACTACCACTACGATCAAGGCTTTATAAATCAGTGATACGTCCGGTGTTGGTGCAGAAACATGGCGAATGACAACCAAACTGGAACAACAACTTCAACGAACCGATATGAAAATGCTCCGATGGATGCAACGAATTAGTCTGAAGGACCACATCAAATCTACCGAAATCCTGCGTCATGCTGGTTTAGATGATATAAAGGACGAATTTCGGCAACACCGTCTGCGGTGGTTTGGTCATGTCAAACGAAGTAGAAACAGTGCCATAACTTCTCTTGCAGATGTTGAAGTACCTGGCACACGTCCCAAAGTCCGTCCAAAAAAGTCCTGGTCGCAAACAATCGAGCAAGACATGAAAGCTCTAAATTTAAATGAAATGGATACAACTGATCGTCTAATTTGGCGCAAAAAGTTGATGGCAAAGAGAACAACGTCCTACCTCGGGAAACTGGGTCTCTGTACGCTAAACAAAGATTGATTGATCCTAATTTATTTTTTACATTATTAACATTTAAGTGTTGGCTAAAAAATACCGATTTCATAATTTACACTTGAAAATTGTGTTCAAATTTTCAATTTTTATACAACCACGAAAAATAAAGTGTACAGTAAGGCAAAAATTGTTTTATTATTGATCAGTATTATTAAATATCGAATAAATATAGAACAATTTTTACAATTAAATCAATTGCGTCAACTGATTTCAATTTTTTTTAAAGATTTATTTACTTATTTTATTGAGCGGCGCAATGGCGTAATGATTAAAGTGCATTGTCATTGTTATTAAAAGCATTGTTATTACAGTGGTTGGGTTCGTATATGAAGATATTCCCGCCCAGGGTCGGATTTACGGGTGTGGAACCCCTGGGGCAACAAAAAGGTGGAGCCCCCAAATTATTTAGTGGAAGCCCTTAATTATTTTAATTGCTAAAATTTTTACCATAAACATAACAATGACCAAGTTACATAATCTTTTCAATGGAAGTTTCGAGGCAGCTTGTCCGGTCTTAAATCCAGTTCTGTCCCCACCAATCGCACCCACCTATTCAGTGGCGGATTAACGCACAGGCACAACAGGCACCGGCCTGGGGCGGAAAATTATTGGGGGCGGCAAATTTTGAAAACTAGTTATTTAAAAATATTCAAGTTGAATAAAAATAATTATATAATTATTGAAATTGATACTTTAAAAAGATTCAAACCAGAAACTCGTGCTGAGGATAGAGGAATTATTTCTAATTTGAGTTTTCTTGAAACCGGAATTATGGTAGAATTGTAGGGTTTTGTTTTAGAATGTCTGAACAAGTCTAACGTCAAACTTCAAAAAGTAGACATTGATCTATCGATTATAATCGAAATTTACGACTCACTTTTAACGTTGTTCGAATCAATCAGAGAAAGATTTGAGGATTATAAAAAATAAGGAAAAGTCCTGTCTTTAGTTGCTGACTACAAGGTACCGCCATTAAGAAAACGGAAGCGGCATTACGACGAATCAGTTGACAATGGAACAGAATTTACCACTCGAGAAAATTTTCGTGTAATCATATTTTTGGTAATTGTGGATAACTTAAATTCTGAAATGAACAAGAAACGAAACGCTTATGTAGAAATTAATAAAAATTTCAAAGCAATTGTACAGTTCAAAACATTGTCAATGGGTGAGCTAGAGATTGCAGCGGATGGATTAAGATCTTTATTTCTAACGATCTAGACGACACCTTAAATACTGAACTGTTACATTTAAAGTCTCATTTGGCTACCTTAGACCAAAATGCAGTTCCACACACTCCAATTGATTTGTGTAAATGAATGACTTGCAGTGTGTATATCCAAATGTAGACATTGCACTTCGGATATACACTTGTACTCCTGCTACAAACTGTTCGGCCGAGCGATCTTTTTCTTGTTTAAAGCGCGTTAAAAACTATTAGCGTTCGACAATGTCCGAAGAAAAGTTAAATTATCTTGCAATTCTATGCATCGAAAAAAACAATTTTGCAAGATTTAGACATTAATTTCGTTATTGATAAATTTAAGCACAAGAAGGCACGTCGTAAAGTTTTGAAATAACTTTTATAAACTGCAATGAAAGAAAATTTATTTTTTAAAATTGATAATATTATATTACATAAATATTATTAAAGAATGTACTTAATAAAAATGTTTTAAAAATATTGCGTTTATATGAATTTAATTTCTAAATTTATTATAAAATTTAAAATTGGGGCGGCAAACAACGATTGCCTCTAGGCGGCAAAAAGGTTAATCCGCCACTGCACCTATTTACATACAGTTCATGTTCATTGAGTGTTTGCTACTGATGCCTCTGCTGAGAAATACTGATGAGAGAAATATAATAAAAATAAATAAACAAAAATAATTTTTAACATTTAATTAAATTGCAAAGCAAATGTTTACGACTCGGAGTCGGGAGTTGAAAATTTTTTCTCAGAGTCGGAAAAGTTTTTAATTTAATGACGAAAACTCTTCTAGGTCAATTATAATACGTGCAGTGCATTCTAGGTAGAACAACGGCAATGAAGCATATCTAACTCCATATTTATGTCTACGAACTTACATGTGTATGGTTAAAAATAATTTTTGCAAAACGAAGCATAATTTAACAATCTGGCTTGAAATAATTAATTTAAAGCAGAGCTTGAACAGTTTACCGGTTAATTAAAAAATTTACATTTTAAATTATTAAACAAATAAAGAGTTGTTTAACGTTAAAAAAACCTGGGTAAAGTTAATAAGTTTGATAATATTGGGGTTCGATGAGGCATATTGTAATATGTCACTTTGTTTATTTCTGGTTGTGGTTTAACAGAAATGTTGTACAACGGATTCATAGTAAGAGTGTTTGGAAGAATAAATCGCTTGCGATACAAAAAATTATTTTCAGAAAATCTGTTTTTCAAGCAAAATTTGTCCAAAGGAAATGAACTTCTCACTTGTCTATTACAATTTGAAAGCTTATTAACATTGAATAATCTCATGTCACCATAGGCATATTTGGGAATCATGTTAGGCGCCTGATAGCAAGGATAGAAAAAACTTGTATTTCTCTCATTTATCATCTTCATTACAGAGTCGTTTTCGTCTTTTTCGTTTTTAGTTTTTTCGTCAACAATTTTTTCAACATTATTAGCATTTACTGTTGTTGATTGTTGTTTAGCTGTGTTAAAATTTGTTTTTTCGTTTTCCATTTCGAATTTGTTTCTTAGTTCTTGAAAAAATTCTTTCTTATGCAAATCAAAATTTGATTTACTTTCGTCATTTTTATATTCTTGTAAATTGCACTGAATTTTTTTCGAAATCTGTATGCATCTTCGAACGTCGCCATTATCCGTGCATGTTTTAACGGATTTTTTATTTATTTTACTAATTATGGTTTGTGAGCCGGCATCATATTTTTGCACGGTTGGAAGTATTGCATATTGGTTTATTGTTGAATCGTCATTTTTAAATTCAACATTTTTCGTCTTATATTTTTCCGCATTTTTCAAAGAATGGTTTTTGTCGCTATAATTATTCATGTTTGAAAGCTGACTTTTAGGTAGACTGTTGCGAGAACGTACATCCTGCAAACTGTTTACGCAGTTGTCGTCACAATTAGAATTTGAACGACCGATTCTATATGGACAACCCTGAAAACAAACATCTTTTAAGTTGTGAACATTTTCGTCACAATTATTACTATTACAATTTGGACGTTTATTTCTGAGTGGACTATCGCTAAAATTTACCACTCCAAAATTGATAATGCGATTTTCATCACGGTTAAGATTTGAATTCGAAAGCCGACTTACATTTTTCAATTTTTCACATAACGCTAATTTACACTTTGATTCTCTTTTATCGCAAATAAATTTCAGATGCAGACTATTGCTATCGGATGACTGACGTAAAGAATTTTCATGGCTCGCCCTCAATTCATCAGTTGTATTATTTTCTCTAGCTGATGCATGTACCATTTTATTTTCAATTGAGATATCATTTTCTCCACAGTTTACTGATGAACTTTGGTCTAATTCTTGTTTTGTGCACGTATTTACTAGCACATTGCTATTTTTACTGGTAAATATATTTAATTGTTCTGTTTCAAATGATCCACCAGATTCGTCTTGAATACACACTTTTGGAAAAATATTGTTAATGTATGAAAGCTTTTTTTGTAACAAATTTTTTGTATTGGTTCTGATGTCATATGCCGAATATGAACCAAACAATTTTTTGATAGCTGAATTTGAATTTGTGTTAGTTTCCGAATAAGATGCATAAGGGCAGTGACAATTTGTATTTAAACAAAAATCGGAATGATTGTTGATTGGTGTATAAAATTCAGTTTTTGATTTTACTAGGGGACACGAAAAAAATGTTATGTCACCGTTTAAATTGTTATCAGCACAGACGCAATTTGACACAACTTCGTTTGCGTTATATCTTATATCAATTGCAACATTTTTAGGATTTTCGAATGATATATCCAACCCAGTGAATTTTTCATTAACTTGCGAAGACAAAATTTTTTCGTGAATCTCATCCAATATATAAATAGTTTTTGCTTTATTTACTTTACTTTTTAAGCTTTGTAAAAATAATTCATCCAATTTTTCCGGACCTGGTGCGTTTAGTTCAGTCATATTTTTTTTGACGACCGAAATAAAAGGTTTTTTTAAATCCAGTAAATCATTTGTCTGGTTGTAAAAAAATTGATCTTTATCAGCTTTTAAAGGTTCTACCTCTTTTTCCAAACTTTTGTCAGATAAAACTTTTTTAATTGTTGGATTAGATAGCATGTTGATTTGTACCACGGGTTCTTCAACTGTTTGAGTGTTTTGGTCAAATTTTAAAATGTTTGGCAATTTTAAGGAGCTATTCGAATAGGAAAGTAAGACCAGACTGCGGCTACTAAGAGATTTTTCAGAGCTTTTTTTTTCTTCATCATCGATGATAGTATTTTGAAACTTTGAAAAAAACCCATTACTTACTGTTTCATTTTTGAGGCAATGTTTTTTCAATCTGAAAACATTTTTTTATAGACTTTTCTTATTTATTTGCTGAATTTTATGAATTATACTCACTGAAATGGTAAGCAAGTGCATACGTAAAGAAGAATCGTTGCGACACCAAATATAAGTAAAATTTGACTCCTAAAATTCACTTTTTGATGAGCATTGTGTTATTTAATTAGATAAAATATTAAAGCTTACAATTTAATGTGTTGAAAAGTGAAAAGCAAACTTGAAATGCATTGCTGTTGGAAACATTTTTCAGTTTCTTTAATGTTACGACACGCAGTGTTTTCGTTAGCACATAACCGAAAGCGAGTCCGTATTCCTTGGCTGCATGACACACTACACAGAGACCATTTAGACCATTCAGAACTAACATGCTCATAAACTGAATTTTTTAATGTTTGTATTATTAAAAATAGGCTTTGAATAATAATAAAAACCTATGTTAAAAAATCGCTTGAAGTATAATAATTTTTACTAAAGCATTATGATTTACAAAAGAGTTGTAAACGTTGGGTAGTTTACTTATTTCTCTGGAACAATCACCATTGCAAATTTTAGTTTCTGAAATCTGTAAACAGTCCTGAGAATTAATACAAATCCAATGTCTGGTAGAATTTCCAATGCCACAACTAGCGCTACATTTCGACCAATTACTCCAAAATCCATCATGTTTATAAATTGCGGAGCTGGTTGATTCTATAAATTAATCCACGATTGTGAGTAATAATGTTTATAACTCTTATATTAAATTTAAAAATCAAACATAGTGGTGCTTTTGCTATGTTACCTTTCCAATTGACTATAGTAAAAAACAGTTTTCAATATAATACTTTGTCTGAAACATTATATAATTTTCACAACAGTTACCGTTAATGTTGGGTAAAATATAAAAAAATTAATCTTCGTTTTGCGTCCAAAGTCCCGGTTCCCCAAGGTAGAACGTTGTTTTCTTTGCCATCAACTTTTTGCGCCAAAATAGACGATCAGTTGTATCCATTTCATTTAAATTTAGAGCTTTCATGTCTTGCTCGATTGTTTGCGACCAGGACATTTTGGACGGCCTTTGGGACGTGTGCCAGGTACTTCAACATCTGCAAGAGAAGTTATGGCACTGTTTCTACTTCGTTTGACATGACCAAACCACAGCAGACGGTGTTGCCGGCATTCGTCCTTTATTTCATCCAAACCAGCATGACGCAGGATTTCGGTGGACTAATTCGTTGCATCCATCGGAGTATTTTCATGTCGGTTCGTTGAAGTTGTTGTTCCAGTTCGGTTGTCATTGGCCATGTTTCTGCACAAGATATTCTGGAATGAGCTGTTGACGTAGACTCCACCTGATTGCTTCACGGGGAACTCGATCAAATGTTTTTTCAAGGTCTACAAAAATGTGTGATAGTTGTTGATGCTTTGCGAAGTAATTCTCTTGCAGTTGCCGAAGGATGTGAATTGCATCAATTGTTGATTTCCCCGCTAGGAAACCAAATTGATAATTTCCGATTCTGATGCACGACGTTAATCTTTTCTCAATGATTTTCTCAACAATTTTCAAGGAGTGTTCTAACAGACGTATACCCCAATATGATGAACAGTTTAATAGATCACTTTTGCCTTTGTATAGCGGAACTGTCATGCTATAGTTCCATTCAGTCGGCATTGAGCAATTTCTCCAGATTTCACGGCAAAGTTGTAGTAACGTTTGGATACCTGCAGTACCAGATGCTTTGATAATGTCATTTGTGAGTCCAGAGGGCCCTGCTGCCTTTCCATCCTTCATAGCTTTCAGAGCTTCTGTAAGCTCCTCTACAGTGATGTCTGAAATCGGAACTTCGATGGGTGGAGCGTCAAAGTTAACATTGATGGGATTTGTTTCGTTTAACAGACGGTTGAAGTATTCTCTCCACTGTAGCTTGATCTCATCTTGTTCAAGAACCATCTCGTTTTTGTCTTTTGATACATGAGGCACCAACTATGTCTTTTTTCTCACGCTTTGCTTGTTTTGCTATACAATACAGAGATTTCATTTGTTCACCTTTGCTTTTAGTGAGCCACTCTCCGCACTGATCTGTCCGAGCCAGTGCAACTTGACGTCTTGCATAGTTGTTCTTCTGACCCGTTCCTGCTGACGTTTTGTACCAGTTTTCCCACAAACTGTAGTTGCAGCGTTTATCAAAACGGTTTCGTATGTACTCCAATCTGTACTGGCTTCGATTGGTGGTCTAACAGTGTGGCGACAATCTGTTGAAATTTTTCTTGATGAATATTGCTTTTCAGCTTCCACGTTTTGATTCTCCGAAGCATTTGTTTAGACTTATGTTTTGACAGTTCGACAACCAGGTCTGCCACAAGAAGTCTATGTTGAGCGACACATGATTCGCCAGGTATAAACTTTGACATTTTTGAATAGCCTTCGGTGTTGTTGCTTGACAGCGAAGAAATCAATTTGCGTGGCTGATTGTCCACTATTGTATGTTATGAGATGTTCCACCCTCTTTCTAAAATATGTGTTCAATAAACAAAACCCGTGACTTTCAGCAAACTCAAGGATGCGGTTGCCATCTTCATTCCGTTTTCCATAGCCAAAACCGCCATGTACGTTGTCAAAACCATCTGTTTTTTTTCCAACGTGGCCATTGAGATCGCCTCCAATCAGGATTGTTTCAGATTTTGGTATTGTTGAGATGGTGTCAGAGAAAGCAGCCCAGAAGTCATTTTTCATCTCTTCTGATTCGCCTGTCTGCGGTGCATATGCAGAAAAAATAATCATTGTTTGCTTTTCTATTCAAAGCTTGATCCACTTGAGACGTGAATTAGTCCTTTTAATATCCAGTACTTCTTGAGCTAGCGGTTCTCTGACAAAAATTCTATCACCATTTTTGGCCGTCTTTTGACCATTCCAGAATAGTTTATATTTTTTTTTTTGAGTTAACAAGACAGACACCATTCGATTTTTATCGGGTTTCCTAAAGGCAGCAAATATCAATCCTGCTACGCTCGAGCATTTTTGCGATTTCCATGCTGTGGCCAGTCAGTGATCCAACATTGAGCGTTCCAAGTCTAAGTACCATAGAGGGGCCATTCTGAATTTTTTTGCAACATTCATCCGCTATTGCATACTTCCCAGGGATTCTTGGCACCCCTTGACCACAAAAGGCCTGCTGGGGACTTGGGGCCGTTGTTTTTCTTTGTGATGGTATGAGAGTAATTTGTGGAAAAGTTTTTACATCCGGACACCCATCCTGACGACAACCACCAGTTATAAGCGGTGGGCCTAGCCTTTTGCTCAAAAGCACGCAAGGCAGCGTGGATGCAGCTTTATGTCATGCCCAGAACCGGTTGGGTAAAATAGGAAATTAAATAATCTAAAATTATAAATCATAAACATTAATTATTTTTTGTATTTTTCTTTTTATTTCAAATTATTTACAAAAAAATATAATTTTTTCGTTTCTTATTTATTTTTTGGTTTGTGTTAATTTGATGAATTATGTTTATTTTAAAATCGTTCGACTAATCTACAAAATTAAAAGTTTTACCATACTAAAGCAATTTCTATAATTAAACAAAAATTGAACAAATTTTGATTATTTATTTATTTAAAAAAACAGCGAAATTTTAAAACGAAGTTAATGAAAAATTATTTATGAAAAAAAAAACATTTTGGAGATTACAGGTTTATTATATTCATACCTACTACATTGATCTTCGTGTTACTTAACGATATTGTTATGAAAGTTAAATTTTTTCTAACAAAGCTAAAATAAAGTAAAATAACTTTTTAAAGTTTTTGCGCAAAGTCCTTCATTACAAGCCATTCTTTGTTGAACGTTTATGCAATTTGGTTTTTGATTGCAGTCAACATATCTGGTTTTGAATCCTTTACCACAAGTGGCACTACATAATGACCATGATGCCCAAACGTTATTTTCTAATAAATTTGCTGTGGAAATGTGCAAAAATTAAAAAAATTCTATATTAAATGTATTTAAAATAAATGACTTACTGACATCTGCCTCTTTGAAAAACGATACCATTACCCCAAGTGCTAAAAAACAATTCATGGAGCTCAATTAATTCTTGAAAACAACAAAACAAATAATTTTCATTTAAATTTATTTAAAAATATAAGGACTCAAAGTCATTATTAGACTAAAATGCAGATCAATAAAATTTAGTAGTTTAAAACTGGATCATTCTGAATAATTTTATTTTGTAATGTTGTTTAATTTATATTATTATTATTATTTATTTATATCGCGTCCTATGCATAGCTTCAGGGGTCCTGGAATAAACAATGACTTTTGACGTTTCCGTAGACCTGGATAAACAAAAATTTCTTTTATCGTTTCCTCAAATGTTTGATGGTTGGTTGTTGACGAATAATGGCAAGCAAACCATTTCATATGGAAGGAGAGCTGTATGTAAAACATTTGTTGACAACTGATGAATTGCTGAAAGGTTGATGCAACTGAGTATATGAAGACGAAAAAAGTTGACGAGTTGATGAATGACGCGATATAATTTCAATTCAATTTCAATTTTCAAAGTTTTATTCATAATCAACAACATATCAAATAAGTGAATAAAAGTTATGAAGTTGAATATGCGGAGACCGAATAAGACTGTTTGTCTTGTGGTGGCCACCGCAGGTAGATACATGAATAGTTAATGAAATAAGATAAGGAAAATAACTGAAGCAGAAAGATAATTGAAGATAAATAAGTAAATGTTCGTGTCATACATATATAGACATATAACTATGTAAATGTTCGCTCAGTACATATATAAACACATAAATGTTTAACCATTCATAAAGACCATTCATCCGCATCATTTGTTCTAACGTATTCTTAATATAGTATTAGGTGGTGGAGTCGAGATCCAGTGTCAATAAAAAAGCACGAAATTTTGACTTGAAATGTTGTAGGTTTATGATGGCTCTTAGATGGGGAGGTACAAGTTCTGTCCAAATTTTAGGACCTGTTATTTTTATGCTTGTCTGGATTAATTCGAGGCGAGTTTTGTAGATATAGAAGAGAGGGGTGTGTCTAGTGGTTGTAGATTGGACGGATTTACTTAATGTGTAGAAGTTGATAAAGTGAGGTGGGAGAAGATTGTTGATAAATTTAAAAAAGAATAAAGCAGAGTAGTAAAGACAGATGAAGTTAAGTGGTAAAATTTTTTTTGCTAGGAAGAAGGGTTTAGTATAGGAATCAGGTTTGAGGTTAAAAATTAAACGTATTGATCTTTATTGGGAAAGTATTAGGTTATTCAGGTAGCTTTTTGGACTATTTCCCCAAAGTGTGATGCAGTAGGTTAGATAAGGGTAGATGAATGTGTAATAAAGCGTGTGAACAGCAGAAAGAGAGAGTTTATATTTGATTTTGTAGAAGATGCCTGTGAGTTTGTTGATTTTGTCTGAGATAGTTTGTAGGTGAGAATTTCATGAAAGATTTTCTGTGATGGTGATTCCAAGAAATTTGGTTGACAGGGTGCGGTTTATAGGAACGCCGTTAATTAATAGGTTTAGGTTAGAAGCTTGGTTGGTGACTATGTTTGGGCCAAAAATAATGTATGCACATTTCGAATAATTTATGATTAGTTTGTTATTGGATACCCAGTTAGAGTATTTTTGGAGTTCAAGATTGATAAGTGCAGAACAATCTGGTAGGTTGTTGGAAGTGAAAAGAAGGTTGGTGTCGTCTGCGAACAGTACGCATTTGGTTGAAGACGTTGCAGAGGTCATTTATGTAGATAGAAAATAGAAGGGGTCCTAGTATGGATCCTTGTGGTACCCCGTGATGAACATGAGCGTGCTTTGAATAGATGTTGTCCATGGAAACATATTGTGTCTGTGATGAGAGATAGCTTCTCATCCAGTTGTGAGCTGTGTCTCTAACTCCGTAATGATGTAGTTTGGATAGAAGTATTTTGTGATTGATGACATCGAAGGTTTTGGATAAGTCCAGGAATATGCCAATAGAAAGATTTTTGTTATTCATTTCATTTAGTATATGCTGAGTGAAGTCAAGAATAGCAAGCTCAGTAAAGTGGTTGGGTCTGAATCCGTATTAGTTGTTGCAGATAGTATTGTTGGAGTAGAAGAAATTAGAGAGTCTTTTAAAGAAAAGTTTTTCAAGAATTTTTGACAGCGGGGAAAGAATGGAAATGGGTCTGTAGTTGTTAATGTCATCATTGTTTCCTTTCTTGAATACCGGTATGATTTTGGATATTTTAAATGAGTCAGGAAAGATTCCAGTGCTTAGTGATAAGTTGAAGATATGATTAAGTGGTGACATGATAGAGAAAATTATGCTTTTGATAAGGAACATGTTGAGTCCATCGTCTGCATAGATGATAGCTCTTTTTGTTTTTCAAGATATTAACAGTAGTTAATATTTCTTGTTCATTAACAGGATATAGACAAATGGAATAGGGTGTGGATGGGCTCATAAAATCTGTAGGACTACCATAGCTGGGAGGTTGGTTTGAGAGTAGTTGACTAGCGATGTTTGCAAAGTGGGTATTGAGAAGGTCACAAATTTCTTGTTTATTTTCAATTGCTTGGTTGTTGATAGTTAGTTTGGTGATTGATGAGTTTGGAGGTTGCTTGTTTAGAATTTCTTTGATAGTGTTCCATTTTTGTCCAACATTGTTATGTGCGTCTTCAAGTTTGTTAGAGAAATAGTCCCGTTCAGTTTTTCGTTTAATAGATGTGAACATGTTTCTGAAGCTTTTGTAGGTGGCAATGTTGCGGGTGGTTGGATATTTAAGGCTTATGATTTATAGTTTGTTTTTTTGCAAGGCTTAGAATGTTGTCATTGATCCAGCATTTTTTCTTTTTGTTTTTGACAGGACGGAGGGGGGCAAAAGTGTCTAGAGAGTGAGTTAAGATAGTATTCAAAACAGAGCAGCAGTCGTTGACATTTTTTAGAGAAGTCAAAGAATTCCAGTAGTGGTTCGATAAGAAATTGTTGATGTTGTTTATAGATTCTTCAGTTAGGTTTCTGAAGTGCTTAATAGGGGCATGGTTTGAGTTTTCTGATTTGGGAGCGATGGCGAATATAGGGAAATGGTCAGATATGTCAGACAGTATTATTCCAAATAAGTGAGGAGTTAGGTTGTTAGTAAAGATATTGTCGATGAGTGAGCAAGAAAAAGTTGAGATGCGAGTAGAGGAAGTTATAAGAGGTAAGAAGTTGTATGATGATAGTAGGTTAAAGAAGTCAGCAACGACGTTGTCACTGTTGAGTTTATTGAGGTCAAGGTTAAAGTCGCCAATTAAGTAGTAGCTCTTTGTGTGTGGCTTGAACGTGAGTAAAATAAGTTCGAGCTTTTGGATTAAAATATTAAGGTCAGTGTTGGAGGGTCTATATACTGCTAAAATATTTACGTGTGTGTTGTTTAATGTTAAATTGACACCAAGAATAAGTTGATGAAGATATGATGGTTAAGATGTTTTAAGTACTAGTAATAGTTACAAGGTTTGATCGAGGCTAAGACACGAGAATTGAAAGATAGAAATGAGTCAAAAGTCTAAAAATTTTAAGTTTAGACGCTGAGGAGAGAGAAGAATCAGCCAAGAGAACATGTGATGGGAGGAAACATTTGATAAGCTGTTGTGGAGTATCAAGAAACATTACTTCAGATTTGTGAGAATTTAGCTGAAGAAAGTTTGATAAATGCCAATCTTTTATTGTAAAACTAAGATATATGATTAGAGGTGGAAGTTTTAGCTATTATACATGTCATCAGCATATTGATGAAAGAGTAAGCCAAAATTGTTAATGATATTATAAATAAGAGAGGTATAAGTAGTGAAAAGAATGGGACCAAGGACAAACCCTTAGGGAACTCCAGTAGATAAGGTGGTGCTAGAAGAAGAGTGGGAGCCAAGTTTAATATATTGAGCACTATTAGAAAGATAAGATTGAAACCAAGATAATTCAGATCTTGTGATGCCATATTCTGCTTCAAGTCTGTCAATATGCATCTGATGATGGTGTCAAAAGCTGCTGAAAGACCCAGGCTGACCATGAGAGCACAATTTTGGTTTCCACATATGTTAGCAAGTTGGTCGTGAACTTGAAGGAAGACTGTTTCTGTAGAATAACATTTTCTGTAAACGGATTGAAAAGGAGAGAAATTAGAAATTTATAAATACAGAAAATAATTTAAATAATTTTTGTTAATATTAACAATAATTATTTTATTACAAAAAAGTTCGATAAACAATTGTATATATTGTATAATTTAAGATCAATCAAAATTATATTTCTGTAATAATTCACGATAATTAGTCATCATAATCCCACATCACGGTTCGGAAAAATCATTCATTAGCAAGAGTCATTGACTATAAATTACTCATGACTAAATTACTTATGATTAATACTGAAGAGTATTTGAGGTTATTAGACATCAGGAGGCGATTATTTCAGGGAGGGATTCCGATATCTTAATGTAGCATATACATAATATGCTAATTACTCTTTAGGGCTACGCATTTACTAATTTATTTGGCCCTCTACACCTTACAGCGATACTTTTTTTATATAACTCCAAGGCTTATTAAGGGCGATGTATCTGATTCCGATAGCTTATTGGAACATATGCATAATATTCTTATTACTCGTTAGTAGCCCATGTGCTAATTACCCTTTACAACTCTCGGAGATGTTTTTATAATGCAAAGGCAGGTTTGGACTGGGCCGAAATTTCCCGATGTCCCGGCAGTTGCCAAAAGAAAGTTTATATATTTTTAGTTTTAACTGAAATTACCTCTAATTATATTACAGCTTCAAATAATAGTTTGTATTGAACATAACCAAACTGAAACAGCAAAATCATTGTATTAAAATTCTAAATACATTTAAATACATTAAAGCATTATAACATCAGTGGTTATAAGCTATTACATATTAATTTTAACGCCATATTTTGATTCAATTTCCAAGCAGATACAAATTTCTAAATATTTTCAAACAGCAAACAAGAGCAAAAAAATGTCGACACTAAAATATTTTGAAGGTAAAAAAATTAGAGCCCACGAATCTCTTGAAAGTGTGAAAGAAATATTTCGTGTCAATGGATCAAGTAATTAATATTTTAAAACAGAGATACTCTAGACATGGTAGTTTTAACGCTAATTTATTATGTTTAGATTCAAGAAATTTTGCAGAAATTTTAAAAAGGCCACACACCCTTCAGAAAAGACCGCCCTGGCAGGCAGCGTGGAGGATGCGTTGTTATCTCTTTGAAGTCATCCATCTCATCTCAAATTCGCATCGTTTTACCTCATGTTGTCAATGATGCACTGAAAACCCTTTTTCTCAAGGGTATTATTGACAGTGAACCATACTTCATCTGTGCCATCTATCATCCACTAAATCATCCATCATACGAATTTTCCACCTTGATGGGTCCTCTCTAATACTGCGTTAGAGAGGACCCATCAAGGTGGAAAATTACCATTACCATTACAGGTTTACATTAAAGAGGACCATTAATGTAAACCTGGACATCACTCACACTTATAAGTCGCACGTTTCAACGCATCATCTTGGGGTGGTTGCTGCTCCTCCATCTCTACCAACTATCTTAACATCGAGAAACAACACCACTAGAAAAGTCATCTCATTTTGCCGTCATTCTTCACAGAGTAATGCCTGCCTTCAACATCTCAACAACATGACTTCAATAATATCTTCGACTTCAACATCACCACCACAAACAAAACTCTGCCAGCAATTTTTAATAATAATATTATTAATTTTGATAATATTAAAAATAACAATAATAATAATAGTCCTAATAGTAATAATACTTGCAACAATAATAATATTAACAATGATGCCAATAATAATAATAATAATAACAATAATAACGATAATACGTTCATAACAAACTCTAATGACAATTTTTTGGAACACTGTTTTGATAAATTTTATAAAATCATCAACTCAACTTACAACACGTATCAGCCCATTCATCAAATATCCACTTCGCCAAAAAAATAAATTCATGAGATCAGGATCCATCCTAAAAGCCGAAGCAATAATCAAATACATCAATAAACTAATCATCAACTTCAACTCAAATACTTTCACTAACAGTAAGCGTGGAAGCAAAGCCATGTGGGACCAAGTCAACAAGATTAGAGACTCTGACAAATCATTCAACACGTCAACCCCACAGCAAATTGATGCCAACACACTCAACACCCATTTTGCTTTCATGTCAACCGATCTGTCCTACAAAACTCCACCAACAAAAGCAACAACAATCAATAGTCGTCAACATCAACAATTTGCCCCATACTCCGTCTTGCACATGCTAACGAAGGCCTGTCCATCCGGTACAGGTCCAGACAGTCTACCAGCATTGTTTCTACAAAACATTATCAGATTAGTTGATAAGTCATTGATGTAGAGAATGAAGAGTAAAGGACCAATGATTTAATCCATTTATACACCGATCCATTTATTCCATAAGCATCTAATTTAGCTAGTAATCTTCTGTGGAACAGTATCAAATGCCTTGGCAAAATCAAGCAGGACTACATCCACTGGAATAGAATTATCCAAATTCTAGGAAATAAAATCAATAGTTTCAAGTAGATTTGTTGTGCATGATTTACCATTGTTGTCTTACTTTTATGTTATTCCTTATAAGATGATCTTCTACACTTTTTTGAATTATACTTTCCATTATTTTACACGGAACTGATGTTAAAGAAACCGGGCGATAATTTGTTGATACAGTTTTGTCGCCTTTTTTGTAGATAGGTGAAACGTTTGCCAATTTGAATTGTAGTGGAAGTTAACTGGTGGCCAAAGAGGCCTGGAATATCAAAGCAATTGGAACAGCAAACGCCTCTGCACACTTTTTTGACAATACTGGATGCAGTTTGTCAACAAACAAGATTTGTTTTCATCGAGCTGTCTAAGTTTATCTAAAACAATAAACAAAGCAAACTGATATCATCAGGCATCATATCTATAAATTGTTCAAAATTTCTTTCATTTACATAAAAAGGCGAAATTTTATTATCGTTTTCTAGTACAAACACATCTTGAAACTGGCATTTATTAGATTTAAAATTTCAACTGAGTCGTGACTTAGTTTGCCATTTAATTTCTTTAAAGACTTAATTGACTTTTTCATTGTTTGTTGACTATTAAGACATTTGTAAAAAATTTTGGGATTATCCTTAGCTTGTTCAACTAATGTTTGCTCATAACAAAGACGTGCTTTATCAATTTCTTATTTTAAATATTTGCAGAAATCTTTATATTCATCACGTAAATTTTTATCATTCCATTTACAAATGCTATTTTTATATTTTAGACACTTTTTTTCTGATAAGTGATTTTAAAATAAATAAAACTGCTAAACTGATATTTAATAAACCTCCTCGTTTTAGTTCTTCCATTCTTTTTCCAATGCTTCATTGGCTTCCAATTTCCGCTCGAATCATCTTCAAAATTGCAATCCTTACCTTCAAAACCCTTTTATTAAAATCCCCAACATATCTATACGACCTCATATCCAGACATGAGCATACTAGATCACTCCGCAGCAGCTCAACAGGTTTCCTAAACATTCCCGTTGCCAGATCCCGCCTGGCTGGCCGCGGTTTTCGTCATGCTGCTTCGTATGTCTGGAATGCGTTACCTCTTGAGTTAAGACAATGTTCCTCGTTGAGTCTTTTCAAAAAGGGATTAAAGACTCATCTTTTTAACACGGGCTCCGGTCGCCTCTGAAGCAGCTGAACAAATGGGCGCTTCATAAATGTTTATATTATTATTATTTTATTATTAAATGTGAATTGATCCATGGAGCTGTTATTACGACGTTTTGATGCATTGACTATGGATACAAAATATTGATTACTTCACTTAAGTAATAAAGCAATTAGTCATACATTTGTTGTACAGTCATGTTTTCAAATAATTTAGTCCAATCTACATTAGATATCACTTGAGATATTTTCCTATAATTTCCTTTATTATATAAAAATTTATAAATAGACTTTTGTTGAACTGAGCAGACACTTTCTACAACAAAATCAAAGAGCAAAATGAGATGACCCTGAGTTATATTACCGAGAACAAAAATTGGATCTACCAAACCTATGTTTCCTGATTTCGTTGTAAAATTCAAATCCAAAATGTTTTCTGTTACACCATTAGATTTATGAAATGTTGGTACGTTAACATGTTGATAGAGAAACATGTCGTTAATTATATCGCTAAGTTTGTGTTAAATGCCAGTGACATTTTAATTGTTGTGATTGATCCATTTTATTGATGGGAAATTAAAATCTCCCATTATCAGAACATCTTTAAAACCATTATTTTGAACGTAATACCTAGCTTGTTTGAAGACAAGTTCAAGATCTGGTCTATAGATACACCTCACCAAATAATTACCATGATAAAAATAAAAATAACTGCCCATACTTGTTCAATTTTGTTCCTGTTGAAAACAGCATCATTGATTTCATAAGAATTGACAGATGAATTGATAAACAGACACACTCCGCCACCACTACGTCCATCATTTTTATTTTTTCTATATACATTAAAGATGGATTATACGTCTCAACAACAACTCTGAATTTATTCAGTTTATTATCTAAAGAAGTAGCATTTAAATACATACAGTGTAGGGTGTTGTGTCTGTTTAGAAAACCTGCTTTATTATAAGTTGAATTTAAATTAACAAAGTTTTCTGAATTTCTGCACCTGATTTCCACGGATGCCATATCGAAAGGACAAGTCTGCACCAAGTTCTGCATTCAATCTGTTTCGTTCCTGTCTCAATTTATAATACAGTTGTCTTTCAGCTTCTGTCAAATCTGGACTAACGTAAACAAATTTGAATTTGTCAAAGTCTATCAATTTTTTAGTTGCCAAGAGGACGGGATTCCTGATAGCAGCATCAGACAAACCAACCAATAACGGCACAAGTTTTGTTGGGTTCTTTTGATCTAAATCTTCTTGAGTATGCTACTGAAACGTCAGATTTATTTATAGCCTTGAAAATTTCTCTAATTTTGGTTTTGTCATGTGCTTTATTATTTGTCAGATTTGAAGCAGATTTTTCTTCCTTTTTCTCTCTCCTGCATCTCACCAACAGTGGTGTTGGCAACTACTAACTGATCTAAAGGCTTTTTTTTACACTTTTGCACCTTTGGTGACCACATCAACACATTCAGTATTGAGGTTTTGCTACCTTCTTTGCCGATTCGAGGTCCGTCTTCAATCTTTCGATTTTTAAAAACTTTTTCTCATCTCTTGCCTCCAACTGTTTCACTTGGTCGGTTAGCGAAGAAAGCAGTTTCGAATTCTTTCAGCACCATTCGTGCAATCTTTTGACTGGTTCACCGGCTGTATTGTCCATCCTCGGCCAATTCTCTTCTTTCAAAAAGTCAAGATCCATGTCGGGACAAAATTTAAAAAAGAATTCGATCTTAACAAAGCAACGTGAAAATTCCGCTGATCAAAACCAAGTGTCAAAACCACGAGTAAACTAAACTTAAAAATTACTAAATCATCAACAAATTATCATTAATTCAGATATTTTAACCACTAATTATACATTATCATAATCCTGAAATTAGAAGCAATTAGTATAGTCAACTTTACAACGAAAAATTAGTCTTTTGAATAAAATTTTACAATAAATTTACACGCCTAAATTAAAATCTATTGTCGCTTGTGTACATAGATAAAGTTGTAATTTAGTTGTAATAAAAAATTTTGTAATTGTAAATATGATTTAAACATAAATATAAATTAGTGATTTTTGGCATTAGGGCGCCTAAATCAGAGATAGTTTTTTAAAGCGGATTCTTTCGAAGCGAGCCTTCTTGTGTTTACATACGGATTTTAAATGTTGTTAAAATTAGGTTTAAATTTAATTTAAGTTTTAATACTTTAACAGTTAAGTGATAAGAAATATTTTTTAAGCGTTTCTCCTTTTATTTAAAACGTTGCTTTTCTGCTAATTCAAATTACTGTGTTTCTTGGTATTTTGATTTAGTAAAATTATTATATTCTGAAAATAAATCATTTTAAAAAATTGTTTTACCCTAATTATTTTCTAAAAAAACATAAACAGCAAAAAAAACAGCAAGAAAAAAAAGAATGGTGCCAAGTTCGTAAAAAGCGAAAGTTAGCCGAGCAAAGAGCAGAAAGTCAAGTTAATTGATGTCATCATTCCTCCAACCATGCTCTTCCAAATCTGTTGATAATGGTCAAGGTGATTCTATTGATACTGTTGATGAAGACACTTTACCCGATAAATCATACTGTGCCAATGAAAGGATTATATTAGAATGATAGGGAAGGGAAAATATTACAATTATAACATTTTTTGAAAAGTTGGTTCAAAAAAACTAGGAAATGGAAATGGTGAGAAAGTGCATCAATCTTGGCTTGTTTTTCTTTATTCATACCCATTCAGCTTATTGCTTATGCTGTATTTTATTTACGTGCCTTGTGACTAAATCTACTTTTGAAACAAAAGTAAAACAAAACATCCTAAATCTTTAAAAATGCACGAAAATTCAACTAACCATAGAAAATGTTTTACTGAATGGAAAGAAATGGAAAAATTTAAATAATGCAGCACTGATTGATTTCCAGCTTCAATTGACCATAGAACATGAAAAACAAAAATGGCGTGATATATTTATTAAAAAGATTTTTATGTTGTATAAAATAATTGGCTTTTCATAATCTTGCCTTAAGTGCACATAGGCAATCAACAACTGATAATGAAAATAAAATAGGAATTTTATTGGGCTGGTAAAGTTGTTATCTGAATTTTATCCCATTATGATGCAACATTTAGATGATGTTACAGGAGGCAACAAAAATATTTCATATTTGTCTCCACAAATACAAAATGAATTTATTCATTTAATGGCTAACTCTTTTAAAAATTTTCTGCAAAATACTATGGTCTTTTATTTGATTCATCTTCTGATATTTCCCATCGAGAACAAATGTCTCAAGTTGTAAGGTGTTGATATTGACTACGAAAAAAACAGTTCAGATAAAAGAATCTTTTCTTAGTTTTATACAAATTGAAATAGAGATGCTAAAAGACAAAGACAAAATAGATTTTGAAAATTGTCGATCTGAATGCTACGACAACGCTAATGTTATAAAAGTGATGTCAGTGAACGTATAATGGAATCGAACACTTTAGCACTTTTTATGAATTGTAATAACCATTCCTTAAATTTTGTGGGAGTGCATGCAGCAAAAGAAAATATTGCAATGATAACATTTTTTGGAGTGATTAAACGGCAGTATGTTTTTTAACGATCAGTACAAAGATGGCAGCAATTGATAAATGTTTTCCCACTTAAATCAGAATCTGAAGCAAGATGGAGTTGGAGAACTGAAGCCATAAAACCTATTGAAGATCATTTGGACGCAATATTAAAAGTACTTGAGCAATTAATAAACGATGCCTCACAGACCATTGAAGCAAGATCTGAAGCAAATTCCTTATAGCAAAAAAATTTTGCCATCTATTTTTTTACTTTGAAAGGTTTCTGGTATCGAGTTTTGAAATCCACTGACTGAGTTCAAAAGAGGCTACAGGATCCTAAAATGAATTCTAATGACGCAGTCAAGGATATTGAGTATCAAGCATTGATATAAGCAGTATCAAAATCAGTTATTTAATCACAAAGATCTGATTGCTAATGAATGTATTGAAACAGGAAAGAAGCTGTGCAAACAATAACAAGGACGAACGAAAAGAAAAAACGAATGCCTGGAGAAACATGTAGAGACGTAGGTTTGAATGCGGAAGAAGAACTACGAAAAATTATGAAAAGTGCTGTAGACAGAATAAATTCAGAGATTAGTGAGTGGTTCGCTCGACTAAATAAAGCTAACCAAAAAATCTGGTTCATTCTAGATTTTAAAAAGAAAATGATAACTTGGAAATAAAATTTTTACATTTAGCGAAATTCTACAATTTAGATATTGATGGTACTGAATTATATCTCGAAATATCTTATTGCAGAATGTTACTATCTACACATGAAACAAAAATTTTAACATCAGAAGATCTTTTCAAATTTATCATTGAATACGGAGACCAAAGCGTTTTTCATAATTTATGAGTTGCTTTTCAAATTTTACTAACTATAAATGTGTCCATTGCTACCTGTGAGCGATCATTCAGTAAGTTAAAATTAATACCAAATTACTTTAGAGCTACAATGAGTCAACAGCGATTGTGCAACTTGGCATTGCTGAGTATTTAAGAAAATGAAATGGTTTAAATTTTGAAGAGATAATCAACGAGTTTGCTTCAGCAAAAGCCAAAAATGTTGACATCTAAGGAAATTTATCACCTTTTTTACAATTCATTTTTTAAACAACTAGAATTAAAATAATTGTTTGAGTTGCTTCTTTTATTGTTTGTAAACATGACTTTTGTTACCATTTTTTGACATTTTACTTTTTTATATGACCAGAATAAATGTATTTGTATAATTTGCTTTTTTTATTGTTAGGATGTTTTATTATTAATTCGGGTTCATTCTAGATTTGAGAAAGAAAATGATAACTTAAAATTTAATTTATTTTTATTATATTCTTTGCTTCACTTTTCCTACCATTTGCCTTTGATACTACATAGTCACAATTAGGTTTTTAGTTAATATAATAAATTTATTTTTCTCGTCTTATATTAGTCATTTTTTATACATCGAAAACAAAGGCGAAACGTAAATCAAATATTCTTCAACAAGCTAACAAATTGGATTGCAAAAACTACAAAAACCCTTAACATCTTGTGACATAAGTCCTTCCTCCTTCGTACTACAATATTTTATCAATAACTCACAACTATAGAACAAAATAATTACTCTGGCAGTTAGACTAAATTTCAATAATTTAGCTAAAAATTTTCCAATACTTGGCACAATTTTCCGCAAGTTAACTCAGTGTTGGCTGTTTTCTATAACAATAATTCCAACTTGTTGGAAAAGAGCTTTTCAGCTCTCATTTACAAAAAAAGAAGATGCACACGATTTTTTCAACTTTAAACTCATAATTCTGCACCTGCTCTATAAAAAATATTTTTATCTTTAATCACTAATAAAATTTACAATCATTTTGATAAATATTCAGAAAAAACATCGCACTCACAGCATTAACTCATCTTTTTATCGGTGCGAGGAAACATAAAGCTATAATTTTATATATATATATATATATATATATATATATATATATATAAAGAGAGGCAATATAATATATATTTCAACTTTGTAGAGTATCTGGAGACGTCGGCAACAATTTCATCTCAACCCTTAACTACCATCATACTCCACCTCACATAAGCAACCTAATAAAATTCATATATTGATACAACAAAATACAACAAAAACTCAAAAAAAGTTTCCTATGTGACCAACCAATCTTGTTGATTTCAGTCAATTGCTGAGTGCCCTAAGACAATCCCGTGTCTTTACTGCTTTTCAACCTCTGCTTTTACTTCGTAATGAAAGTAATAGAAAAAGTCATATATCAACAATGTACCTACATATGGATACTCACTGCTAAGTTAAAAATAAGAGCGTGGTTGCAATTCACACACGATACCAATCACTAAAAGTACTCAAAAACTGACTGATTGAATAAGGCATGATGCAAAGCTATAAGGATAAATTTGAGGATAGACAAATATTCCTCATTTGAAATAAGATTACAAAACTGAACTTAGGAACACTTCTTCTCGATACTGTCCATTGATGACAAACACATTTTTCAGGTTGATATTGGGAGCCCTTCGTATATATTGGCAAATTATACGTCTACAAAGGAAACCACACAAAAACCAAAAATCAAATAATCAATAAATTTAAAATATAATAACAACAATCAGTGAACTTGAAACAACAGTCCACCTGAAACTACAAATATTAAGATAATACTTGCTACTGCAGTTAGCGTTTAAGTTTTGGATATACGATATTTTGTTGACATTGGTCACCAAAACAATAAGAACATGACTGTCATAACCAATCAGCAGTTGTTTGTCAAAAAGCCTATTGCTCCCTTATAAGACAGATGGCTTGATTGCTCAAAAATTTCGCCAAATCTCTGAGAGTGAAACTACCTGAAATTTAACGGCAACGATGAATTGAAATGTTTGTGGAGTGAGTGAACGGCTGTATGAAAAGATACACAATAAAATTTTGAATATTGAATTTTTGAGAAGTCTAAGTATTTTAATAACTTTCATAAAAATAACACTTAATCAATACTTTTGAAATTTTGCCGCTAGGTTCCATTAATTGCTTTAATTTATCGCTAGTCAGTATCGTTTGGTCTGATTGACTTGACAATAATTTTATTAATTTTGGATATTGTCATCATATAGTATTTATTGTGATGGGAATACCGATCGATTGAATGAATTATTTTAAAAATAATATTTTACTCGTTACTCATTATTTGGTGGATGATGAGCTTCACAGGCCCCTAAAATATTTTATAATAATTCTTAAATGAATTTAAATTTAATTAACAATAACTGTTTTTATTGCAACTTATTTTTTAACATTTTTAATGTATGTTTTTATGATTAAAACAAAAGATGTTTGCATTATAATGTTTTAAAATATTCATAATTTATCTATTTAATATATCACACAAACTTGTGCGCAAATATTGTTTTTGTTGCATCTATGATGTTATATCGACTGTACGTACACTTTATCCCATTACACTTGAACTAGGTCACTTGGTCCCGAATACATTTGGTCCCAACTATACTTGATACTGATTACACTTGATCTAAACTACACTTGATTCTGTTGATTCTGATTATCGTTGGTCCCACATATACCTGAACGCGACTACACTTGGTTCCGCAAACACTTTACCTCGCTACATTTGGTCCCGAATATTGAAATTGTTGACTTAGTTCACTTCATTATAATAAAAAACTTATATTTAAAATACAATGCTGGACTTTTTGTTTAACTTTTGTTATTTTGTTTTTATGGGCAGCGAAATGGTGTAATAATATTTAAAACGTTTGGTTTCGATTTTGCGGTGACTGGATTCAAATGGAAAGATGCTACGGCGGATCAAGTTTAGTCGGAGTTATGGGTAATTAAGTGTAGTTAAAGTTATGTGCATGCAGAATCAAGCGTAGAAGGAGTAAGAGTATGCGAGATTAAAAATGTAGTCGGGGTTCAGTGTATGCTGAATAAAATATAGTTGAAGTATATGCAAGATTATGTGAAGTCTGGGTTAAGTATATGCGGAATCGACTGCAGTTGGAGTTATTTGTATGCGGGATCAGGTGTAGTTGGGGTTAAGTGATCGGTATTAAGTGTAACAAGCTTAATTGTATCAGGATTAAATGTACGCAAACCGTTAAGCCGTTATTATAAATAATATGCAATGAAACTATTAATAATAATTGAGATTTATATCAGAGTTATAGCAAGATCAGTTTCCTGATATTAGTTTTTAGGTTTATATTGATTATTAAATTGTTTTTAATGTTATAATAAATTGATACTTACATTTTTTATAAAATTTTTTAGTTTTATAATAAACTTTATTATGTAAAATGTTTACAAAAAAAATAAAATTCATAATTATAAACATTGAATGAAAAATTGATTGACGTAATTAATTTTATATGCTCATGTTTTATAGCTCAAAAAACATATATATATATATATATATATATATATATATATATATATATATATATATATATATATATTTCTAACTATTTGACACAAGCTCCGACGATGGCACTAGCTCGAAACGGCCGTCAAAAGCGTTGTTTTAAATAAAGTTGACTCTACCAATCTATGACGTGTTGAATTATTATTCAAAAAAGTAATAACAACAAATTGGGGAATTATTTTTAATAAAAACCTGCGTGTCCGAAAACCTCGTTCCAAATTATATATATTACGGTTGAAGATTACACCCCATTTTGCAGTTAGAAGTTTTTTTTTTTAAATAAAATTTCAACAACACGAAGCTGTTTTGTTTCAACTTTATTAAACTGTGAAGTTTGGCTAATGGCCGTTTCGGCTAATGCCATCGTCGGAGCCTAGATTGTAAAACCAAATGAGGAGTTAATAATATAATATATAAATATAAAAAATATATATATATATATACATATATATATATATATATATACATATATATTTACAATATTCTATAAATTCTACCGGATGTTTGGCGTTAATATGTTTGTAGTTCGTTTTTTCAATTTTTTTCACTAAAGATTTGGAGAACGTTTAGTTTATTAAAATTCAAAATGAACTTATTTTCCGAATTCATGCTGCAAATAGGGCCATATTAATAGGGAAATATTTACTTTGTGAAAATGAACTTAGATGGAAATTAGCTGTCAGATTTCTTTATTGGCTGGTTGGTTTCCTTTTCTTCATCGACAGAATCATATTCTTTTTTGTCAATATTTACAATGCTAGTTTTTATTACTTCTTTGTTTTCATTGTTGATTAAGCGCCGGGTTGGGAGTGAGGTTGTCATTTTTTGTTGTATATTTATTTTTGGTTTATTGATGTCAATTAGGACTGCTTCTGCAATTTTAAAATGCGTGTAATTGGTGTTCTGGTATATTACTTTGATGTTACTGTCGAGGATTTCACGGCTTATAGTGATTGTGTGTGTTGAGTCCAAATTAGATTTGACAGCACCACTCTGTTTATGCATCGTAAGCCTTCTAGTCAGTGAAGTAGTAGTAATCCTGATATATGAGTCATGTTGACGTGCACAGCCGTCAAAGTGGCAATTAAATTCATATATTACGTGATTACGCTTTGACACCGAGTTATCTCTAGGACTACAATTATTTTTCAGTATTAGTTGAGACGTTTTTTCATTGCTGTAATAAATTCGGAGTTTAACTTTACTAATTGGGTTTGTTGTTGTCAGTGGCGGATTAACGCACAGGCACAACAGGCACCGGCCTGGGGCGGCAAATTTTTGGGGGCGGCAAATTTTAAAAACTATTATTTAAAAATATTCAAGTTGAATAAAAATAATTATATAATTATTGAAATTGATACTTTAAAAAGATTCAAACCAGAAACTCGTGCTGAGGATAGAGGAATTATTTCTAATTTGAGTTTTCTTGAAACCGGAATTATGGTAGAATTGTAGGGTTTTGTTTTAGAATGTCTGAACAAGTCTAACGTCAAACTTCAAAAAGTAGACATTGATCTATCGATTATAATCGAAATTTACGACTCACTTTTAACGTTGTTCGAATCAATCAGAGAAAGATTTGAGGATTATAAAAAATAAGGAAAAGTCCTGTCTTTAGTTGCTGACTACAAGGTACCGCCATTAAGAAAACGGAAGCGGCATTACGACGAATCAGTTGACAATGGAACAGAATTTACCACTCGAGAAAATTTTCGTGTAATCATATTTTTGGTAATTGTGGATAACTTAAATTCTGAAATGACCAAGAAACGAAACGCTTATGTAGAAATTAATAAAAATTTCAAAGCAATTGTACAGTTCAAAACATTGTCAGTGGGTGAGCTAGAGATTGCAGCGGATGGATTAAGATCTTTATTTCCAAACGATCTAGACGACACCTTAAATACTGAACTGTTACATTTAAAGTCTCATTTGGCTACCTTAGACCAAAATGCAGTTCCACACACTCCAATTGATTTGTGTAAATGGATAAGATTGAATGACTTGCAGTGTGTATATCCAAATGTAGACATTGCACTTCGGATGTCCACTTGTACTCCTGCTACAAACTGTTCGGCCGAGCGATCTTTTTCTTGTTTAAAGCGCGTTAAAAACTATTCGCGTTCGACAATGTCCGAAGAAAGGTTAAATTATCTTGCAATTCTATGCATCGAAAAAACAATTTTGCAAGATTTAGACATTAATTTCGTTATTGATGAATTTACGCACAGGAAGGCACGTCGTAAAGTTTTGAAATAACTTTTATAAACTGCAATGAAAGAAAATTTATTTTTTAAAATTGATAATATTACATTACATGAATATTATTAAAGAATGTACTTAATAAAAATGTTTTAAAAATATTGCGTTTATATGAATTTAATTTCTAAATTTATTATAAAATTTAAAATTGGGGCGGCAAACCACGAGTGCCTCTAGGCGGCAAAAAGGTTAATCCGCCACTGGTTGTTGTGACATTTTTATTGATGATATGTTTAAGAATAGCTTCATCTATTTTGTACGCTATTCTTAAACATATCACCAATAAAAATGTCACACCAACCGACCCAATTAGTAAACCATGTAGGTTAAATTTGCCAACTTATGTAGAAAGATTCCATGTACCCATGTTGTTTCATTCAACCAAAATTTTCCAACCCAGACACTGTCTTCAGGGTAAAAATTTTGATTACCACTTCCAACGGTTGCCTGCTTTTCTTGTGACTTTTCAACATTATTTTCTGGTACGTATCGCATAGTATCCAAAAGTTGTCTCAGACGTCTTCCCATCATCAGTTGTGATCAGTTGTGCTGGTGAATAACCAGTTGTTGAATGTTGTGTATTTCTATAAGTTAATAGAAATCGTGAAATGTGATGCATAAGTCGTTTTTAAGACAATTCTTGTTCTCCAATAACTGCTTTGAAAGTACGAACAAATCTTTCTGCTTCTCCATTAGATCGTGGGTAATATGGTGAAGTGCAGATATGCTTAATATGAAGTTAAATGAAATATGCTTAATATTAAACCTTTTACAAAAAGCTTGGCATTCTTTCGAAGTAAATTGTGTTCTGTTATCTGATACAATTTCTGCAGGAACCCCAATTTTAAATAATTGTAACAGTACTTCTACAGTGTTCTGTGAATTAGTGTTTTTGTAAAGGGATGACTTCCGGCCATTTTGTTCTTGCATCTACTACAATAAGCCAATAATGTCCTTGCGTCGGTCCAGCATAACCAATACGTAATCGATGCCATGGCTTCTCTGAAAATTCCCACTGGTTAACCTTAGCTACTAGTGCTTCAGGCATAGTTTATTAATTGCTCAAGTACTTTTCATTCAAACTATACCTGGATATCCTTGATGTAATTCTTCTAAGGTGGTTTTCTACATACTTGTCGGAATAACTATACGTTGATCCCAATAGATAATGTCTCTTTCAGTTGATAATTTGATTAGATGCTGCTTGTAAGGTTCCAACGTTCCCGTCTTCTTCAAACAATTTTTCGAAAGCTAAAATACGTGATAACTTTTGTAGTACAACATCTTTTTTCATAGACTCATGTAGTTGTTGATTTTAAAACAAGTTGGACCCCAATTCGTCGACATCATGAATTTCATGTCAAAAATATCGATCTCAGTGTCGTCCTGTTTTTCTAAAGGTAGACGAGATAACGCATCAGCATTACCGTGTTGGGTCGTTGATTTGTACTTAATCGAATATTTAAAACCTTGTAAAATCAAAGCCCATCTTTGGATACGTCGAGAATAGGTTTATCCGGTGATAACAAATTCAATAATGATGTGTATCTGTTACCAACAATAATTCTTTACCATATACATATTGTTGAAATTTCAAAATACCAAAAATAACGGCGTAATTTTGTTGTGTAGAGTTCAATTTCTTAGAAGCATAAGCAGTTGGCTTTTCATTGCCGTTTGAAAAAATGTGAAATAACGTTGCTCCAACTCCATAATTAGACAAACCTACTGCTAGCCCAATAGGCTTTAATGGGTCGAAATGACACATCACTGGTGCTTTAGATAACTCGTCTTTGATCATAGAAAATGCTTCATCATGCTCTTCTATCCATTTTCATTTATTTTTACTATAGTCAGGTTATACAGTGGTACTAAAATATTTGCCAAATTCTGACAAATTTCCCATAATAATTGACTAATCCTAGAAATGATCGTAATTCATTGACGTTTTTCGGTTTTGGTGACTTTTTGAAAGCCTCGACTTTATCTGGTGCCGTGTGCAGTCCATCTTTATCAATAAAATGACCCAGATAATTTACAGAAGGTTCTCCAAAATGACATTTCTTCAAGATAACTTCATTCCAAATTCTCTGGCACGTTTAAATATTTTGTTTAATCGCTTCAAGCGTTCTTTCTCTGTTCGTGCCGCTACCAAAATATCGTCCATGAAGGAAGATGTTCCTTCTAATCCACGAACTATCTGATCCATAGCACGCTGAATAATTGCTGAAGCCGACGCAATTCCAAACGGTAGACGTATCTATGCAATTCTTTTCTCGTTCTAATTACTAGATATTTTTGTGCTTCATCTTCAAGTTCAATTTGATGGTAGGCTTTGGCCAAATCCAAGATTGAAAAATACCTGAGCCACCCAATTTTGCAAAAAGATCTTCAACTTTTGGTAACGGATACCATCAATGCTTTGTTAATAGAAACTTTAAAATCTGTACACAATCGAACTGCCTCTGTTCCTCTTTTTGCCACAATAACAATAGATGATGCATATTCGCTGATGTCACTAGGTACACGTTCAATGATTCCCCTTTTTTCCATTCGTTCTAACTTGAGGTCAACTTTCTTTTCAATAACAAATGGTGCTGGTCTGGAATGCCAGAATTTCTTAATTGGCATTTCCTTGAGCGTGGTGCTGGCTTTAATACCTTTGATGCAACCTAATGTCTCGTTAAAAATATCTGTGTATTTTTGTAGCAGTTTCTTCAAATCTTTATCAGCTTTATTGGCGGATTCATCCATCTTCGCTGAATTCATGTTTACTTTGTTTCTATTGGTTTTTCCTTCCGGACACTGAAAAAAATCTATGTGCATGATCTTGACCCATTTCACCTCAACCAAGGATGTACTGTACAGTCTCTCTCAACAACATAGTACAATTGATTGCTAAATTTCTTTTCTTCGACTACTACAGTTCTGCCACATCCGATTATTAGAAGTTTATGTTCACTATATGATTTGAACTGTTTCTTAGCTGATTGTATAGTTTGTGAACCAATTTTTCTCTAATCTTTTTTTTACTAATGATCGTCTCTAATGTACCTGTGTCTACTTCACAAGTGATTCTACACTTGTCAATCTCCAAGTCAACGTATCGCTTTTTTAAGTTGCTTGTCTGATCATCCATATTAAAAATCTGAATATAGTCACTATCTTCTTCACCTTTTTCAACTGTTTTAGCCCTGGTCCAATTCTTCTGTTTCAATTGATTTTTTTCTCTCTTGGATGGCATTTTTTTTTACAAACTTTTGCTATGTGACCATTTAACCCGCAGTTGTAGCATTTTGTATCCATATATTTACAAATTCCTTAATGACTGAAGCCGCAGTGTTTGCATTTCTGATTGTTTCCGTTCTGTTGTACTAACATTGTTTCCTTTTCTCGTCTACCATTTTCTTGCTTCGGCTGTCTTTTGGGCTCTAGTATATTTTTCCGCAATGACTACGTTTTCGACATCTAAATCCCGGCGTGTAAGTAAATCGGTTTGAATACTTTGGCTAGCCAAACCAAGAATAAATTGGTCTCTTAGTTGTCGATTTTCCGGTGTAGCACCAGCAGCAAAATCGCATGTCAACGCCAATTGTCTCAACGCTGACATATACTCTGTTGGTGTCTCACCTTAGTTCTATTTTCTTTGGCTAAATCGAAATCATTCCTGGATTTTCAATCGCGGTGGTCCATTTGTTGACTTTACCGTTGCTGCAATTTCGTTAAATGTGTGGTTGTCGGCTGCATTTCCTGCCTTCGTCCAGTATTGGTTGGTTAATCTTCTTCCCATATTTTGTCTAAGCAACGCTTTTCGTTTTTCTTGGTTTATCTCATTATCAGGAATATTTTCTATCAAAAAGTAATTTTTAACCGTTTGACAAATCTATCCCAGGTTTCAAATTCTAGGTCAAACTCTTGAAATTTTCCCATCGTCAAATAAACAATACTCGTATATGAATGCATTAATGATATTAATTCAACGAAATATTTTTAACTCTGAAATAATTTTAATCATCGTCGCCAATCTGTGTGTTTCAACTTAAATTTATCTTAAAATTCTTTATTTCTAAATTCTTTATTTCTAAATTATTTTTTAGAATTTTAATCAACAACAAATTTGTAATATTCTTTATTTTTATTATGAAATTAAACTTCTTCAATTTATGTTTTAACTAACGATACGCCTCACTGTCATTCGAATTTCTTATGTAGCCACACGTTCCAATTTCCACATACGATTATATCATTATTATTTAACGATGTTGAAGATTGTAAAACTAAGTATTCATTTTAAACAAACAAGGAATCAACAAAGTAGAATAGAGGCACAGTATATATATAAAAACACAAAATATCAATTTTAACACCGAAGATGAAAAAAGCTTTTCTGTTCTATTATGCATAAAATAAACAAAAATTTTGGTTTTGAATGTCCATGGATATATATAATGGATATGGCAAGTCTCATATGTATATATATATATATTTTTACAATATTCTATAAATTCTACCGAATGTTTGGCGTTAATTTGTTTGTAGTTCGTTTATAGATTCCGTAGTTGAGTTATTACCAAATAAGAATTTCGCTTTAAAAAACTAGCAATATAAATTGGTAATGTTTGATTGCTAACGTTACTGGTGTGTTTCAGTTGCGTTGGGCTTTTTTAATACTAATTTCCAAAATTACGATTTGCACTGCTCTGCAATGGATATTCTGATAATCAATCTCAATCACAATCATTCATTCATATTAATTTGTGTTTCCTTTTTTTTCGTTATTGTTTTAAACGTGATATGTAAATTCATGAGAATGTATACCAAATGTATGACTGCTCATAATTACTATAATAACAATAGCTGACAATCATACATTTGAGTACCTTTTTTTGAATATATAATAATCTGAAGCTTAACCAAATTTCATAAACTTTCATGTTGTTTTTTGAATTTGCATTGTATATATATAAAATGGGAAAATGTCTGCTTTCAATTTTAAT